CGAATTGCAGTGGTACTCCCACACCTGAATCAATGATGCTAAAAACAAGCAAATAAAAGCAAAACAATGATTCATGCAGAGGAAATGAGAAAAAGAGGACCATAAGCATGTATATTTTCTGTGGTTTGAACGAAAACAGCATAAAACAATTCACACGAACCTTTGTCGAGATAAGGAGAGATACACGTCAAAATCAAGAACTGGAACGAAGAAGACAACAATGAGACATGTTTCAGGGAAACAAGCCCAGCCTTCGAATCTTGCTGCTTCTTCAGATTAGTTAGTTCGTCCGCAACCTGAGAAACTATGACTTCCATATATGAAATGAATGTGGGGATGATAAGGAGAGAGTTATATGACGGTATATCAGGCTAATTCGTCGAAATGGCATGTTCAACTGCACACTCATCATTCACGACCTTTTGCATCACAGCCATTATCCTATGTCCGTATCGGATTCTTGCATCAAAAAACTGGGAGCTTGCTTCTTGTGCAGAAGATGTGGATGCCCTCGCGCTTATATCCTCCTACACACATAACAGCACGAAGGACCACATGAAGGCAAATTCTGCCACCTGCATACTAAAAAATTTTGACGAGACAACCTTTAACAATGACGCTCATTGATTTCTGAGACTGCTCACATTTTCAGAGCTTTCCAGGTCCAGCAAAAGCGCAGCTATAGGATCCGATTTCGACGTATGCCAAACAGAATCTGAAAATATAGGATTTGGAGGCAGTGGATCAATGGTCAATGGTCTTATGACATTTAAAATATCATTCGGTCAAAACTATTTGTTAACCTAATGCTCTTCATATACCTGAATCATTGTCGCCGAAAAGGTAATCCGAAGGTTATTCAATTAAACACACAACTCTCAGAAGGGCTATAAAGTTTCACCCCGTGAACTTTAACGGAACTACACAAATCAAAATATTTCTATTTTAGGTGTAGAACTTTGAGGTCTGGTGCGAGGGCTCTGTCGCCTATAGTGATTCCAAATTTTGTAGGGGTAAAAAGCAGGTGTTAAAGCAAAAGCAAAGTAGTTCACGCACCCCGGGGATTCCCTTTTACGATCAAGAGAAAAACAAATACTTCTGCAAACGACAAGGCTTCCAGCTACCGATTATGTACATTTTTTTAAACACGCGATATGCAGAAGATTTCGCTTTAAATTAGGTATTCGAATGAAATAATTGGTAAAAAGATTGATTACCTTTCTCGATAGATATGCATTTTTTGAGGCATTCAAAGGCGAATTCCAAGCCGGCCATGCGAAACAACGACTGCTAGCGATTTCTGTGATAGAACCTTGACACACGACAGCAAATACAAGGCTTTCGATACTGAGCTCGGAATGACGGAAGAAGCTGCTCGGGCAGGGTTAAGTCGAATCACAGGTGTTCGCGTACAATTACACAGCATGCTCCAAGACGTCGACTGCGGTCGTCGCGTGGCAACACGTCCGCGATCAAATCTGCCGCCCCGCGGCAGTTGATGTGGCACAAGTCCCAACTCGTGACAAGGTTTCTCGCATCAATGGGCCTTGAAGCTGATTTCGCTTCATGTACGGCACTTGGTTCGGCTCCAAATCTCAAAGAGGAATGTGAGAGCTCTATGACTAAGCCTCGGGCGGTAGGGGGGGGGACTCCGCGTGGGTGACACAGTGTAGCAGAGGTTGGAATGCGTGAGATCACAGAAGTAATGAATTGAAAGCCTGGAGTGGATGTAAAAGCAAAGGCGAGATGATAAACGCACGTCCGATTTATTCTCTTCCATTGCAAGTTGAATTTTCGCAGCGCTGCCGCATCACATGCCCCCCGCCCACTACTGAATAATATATGTACTGATGGATGAACGCCTCAGGATATTTCATTTATTCCGCGTCCGCACGGAGTGCCTGATAACATGAACTTACACCTACCCTCGCCTTCAAATGACCAGAAATTGTGCAATTGCAGAAATTGACGTGGCATTAACGTGGCATCGATTCAAGAACATCTTTGAGCACACGTGATGTCACCTTTTCATCGAGAATTTAGCCACGTGTGCCAATGCCACGTCAATTTCTGCAATTGCACAATTTCTGGTCATTTGAAGGCGAGGGTAGCTCTACCGCCAGCTCGATGCACCTGTCGCGCCCGGCACGGACGCCTTGCTCCCCGCTAGTCGCATAAGCATCGGGGTTCACCCGGCGAAGGAGCGGCGTCGGTGTCGGCGTGAGGGTAGCTACGGGGACTTACGCCGCGCTCGCTGCCCGCCACTATGCCACGCGGACACCTAATAGGCCTGAGCAGCCCCGACTGGCAAGTACGCCATACCCTACTGCGTATTGCAATGCCATGGACTACGCCGTGATGTTATTGTCCCGATACTAGCTAGCTACGATGAATTTATGGCCCGGCCTACGAGCGTTATACCGACTATGAACACACTAATTATATTACTAAATAGATAGTATGGTGCGGATCAACCGCTACGATTTAAACACTACAAGAAAATATACCATAGATTCATATGATCTTGAAACTACGATGAAAATAAACGACTACAACATAATACGGCTACTACCCTAGACTCACGGGTCGAACCCAGAAGTGCTTCTTACGCGGGGATGACGTGGCTCGGCTCCGATGTTCTTCGACGGGCGTCCATGCCCGGAACCATTCGTTGACGTACGAACACTGGAGCACAAGTGGCGACAACAGACAGCAACGGCCAGCGGCTACACTCGACGGCGGCAGCACGTAGACTGAAGACAGGCGAGGGCGCGTGCACTCTGCGTCCCTGACGTTCTTCGAGAGACTTCGACAGCGCGGGCGCGCCAGGACCCGCGCACACCCGACCAGGCGCGACCCTTTAGGTGAGTCGTACGGAAGTCACGACACTGGGGGCGGCGCACGACGTAAAGGGGTCCCAGCGGCTACGGAGACCAGAGCCCGTCCTTACCTACTGCGACTACGCAGCTACAATGACATACACGTTAGTTAAACGTCGAGTCCCTACGGGGCCTAACTACCTACGCTGGGTTCGAGGGCAATTCTTATTGACGTCCGGGTCAAGTTGTTTTTTCCCTACGATACAATTACTTAAACTACGACACAAAAAATTACAATTAAACACGTTGAATCTATGGCTGGAGTTTGGAGTGAGACGGCGGCTATGAATTGACGAACAGCTTTCTTGACGCGTCGATTCGGACAGCAACTCGGCAGTAGAGTAGTAACGACGTAGACGATGTGACGTACGAGTTCGGTGTAGATGACTTGACTGCGACGCCAAACGAGTACGGGTGTTTTTCTTAACTACTGTGCGAGTTTTGCCTCACACCTATGGGGGAAATTTTAGTGCGAGGGGGAGATTTTTACCTCGCTATGCAAAATACCCACGGGTCAGTTAAGGGGAAGGCAAAAGGAAATCCCGGGACAAGCAAAAGAAATAGCGGTCTCCCACCGCTCCCCAAGGGGTGCTGCGCTACGCAGCGGTTGCGTTCACGCGTACGTGAACAAATAACTCCTCGCCTACGCGAGTCGACATAACTTCTCGTACTACGGAGTACGCTGGAAATAGAAATATTAATAAACAATTATACGGACCTACGGCCCGTGTGATAAAATAAAATCATTGACTACGAAATAATAAAAACTTGTCGTGTACTACGAAAGTACACTTCCCATCACTGACTACGAAAAACGGCTGTACAACAGCGAAGAAGAGGAGCAGCCTGAAGCTCCTTCTCTCCTTTGCTGATTTTTCCAACTTACCTGCCCTAGAAATTCTTACACATACCGCCGCTAGAATGCGGTGTTCGGTCCCAAATGGTTCGCTTGAGCGAGCCATCCTGGGGCGCGAGAGGGAGGTAAGGCTACGCAGATGTTATGCGTATAAGTGACAACTACTCTAATAGAAATAGGAGCCTACATTATAGATGGGATAGTAAATTAACTACGTCATAAACTAGGAAATGAATGAACATAAACTAATTTTGATGTGTAGCGAAAACTATATTTGCGAATTAGTAACTACGGTTTAATTTACTAGACTACGCTAAACTAAGTAGATAAGTAACGTAGAAAAGTGCTGCGTGTATTCGTCATTGGCGCGACACCATGAAGTGTGCATGGCTCACTCCAATGGGGAATACATGGCGAAAGGAGAGAGAAAAAATTGTCTACGAAACGCACCATTAGTAAGTGCGCGAGACTGGTGAATAAATGCCTCTTGGGCGTCGCTGTCTTCGCCTTTGGCGGCTAGATCTTTAACCACGTCTAAAAACGCTTGGCGCTTCTCCAAAAGCGTGCGTTGCGCTGCTCGAGCTTGCGCTAAGTATGACTGAATGGTAGCTTGACGTAAGCCAAGCACCTGCGGCGTTACGCTGCTTTGCGGATCTAAAGGTTGGAGAACAGACGCCGGGATCTTACCTTTTACAGTTTCCCACGCCGTAATTGCTTTAGTTAAATCGTTCTTATGAGCACTGAGTTGCGACATTTTGTTCGCTGGCAGGAGGTAGTACTGCCGTACCCAATCTAAAAACTAACTAAAATGAATGTGTGTTGGT